AATAAATAATGATGAGGTGTATTTAAATCATTACAAGGCCGGGTAAAGACCAGGTGAGATTTTATACATCCTGATATGCAAAATCTTAACAATGGCAGAAAGCATACTATCTTTTTACAATTAGCTATCATTAGGTTTTTCTGCTATAAAGTGCTGTCACTGGTACTAGAGGAGCTTGACTGTAATGTTTGATACTGTATTTACACTGTGTGGTCATGTAAAAACAGAAGATAAATATTAGAAGAGTGGATCCTCCCATCAGCAACCTTTACAGCTCTTTTAACTCCAATTACAGACGAGATCAGCAGAAATTTGGATACTTCATAATAAGACTCTAACTTGAAACATATTGGAATACTATACTATTTGTCATGGGCTGTACTGGCAAGAGTTTTATTTGTTCTTTTCTATGTTTCAATTTTTTAAATGTCTGCAAGTGTTGAATTTCTTGCACTTTACTCACAAGATTTAAAATAATCCTTGATATTTATCAGAATGGTAAAAATGTAACTCTATTTGGGATTTTCATTATTTTCAGCATCTATGTTACTGCTAAAATGAAATGAATGTCTGTCTGGAGTTCCCTGAGAGACGTTTGCAGGCTCTCCTTGGGCCAGGCACCACACTCTCCACAGGAAACCAGGAATAGGCTGTCTTCATGTCTGCTGGTGCTGCCCATGTGAATCACAAAAAGACAATTAGGGGCTTATTAGGGTCTTGGGGCGATGCAGCTCACGGGGCGTCCGCTTGCCGGTTTGCCCCCAGTTTTGAGCCACTGCCATAGCTGAAAACAGTCAGGGGCATTGTCTCACCTAATTACACTAAATGGGCCCCTTTTTGTGCTGCTGCTGCTGCTGCCATGCCTGTCTAGTTCCCTTCACCTGCCTAACTGCTAGTCCCTGTCTACTGTGGACATGTGCTAATTAGACAAGAAATGGGCCCAAGTAATTATGTCAATTCTTGTTAGGAGCAGCCACAATGTGTAATGTTATTTTGTCAAGAAACTTTTGGCGTTGGGGGGGGGGGGGGTGTCTCTCCCACGTTTCTCATAGTGTTTTCCTCATTACGCCAATAACACATCTGCACATGCAACAGGGGAATGCGGCACACTCGGCAAGTCCCCGACAAACTTCAGAGCGTAAATAGATGCACTCATTCAGAAATGGAGACTATAGAATGGCAATGGCATGAAGTTATTGCCCTAATTAATGCTTTGTGCCCACAGAGCAAACTGTTGATGCACTGGTGCCACATTGTTAGGACTGTGAGAGATTTTTTGTCTTCTTTGCTCTAATGGGATGTTTTGATCAACGGCTGTTTGGTGACCCAGCTCCTCTTCTTAAATGCCAAGCTCTGGGAAATGGCAATTAGCTAGATTAGTAGAGCCATTTCGGGAGTCTCAAACATAGACAAAGATCAGACAGGGGCAGATGAAACTCTAACATGACAAAACAAACCATGCCTGATATTTATATATATAAATTACAGTAAATTTTTGCATGTCACCCAACAACATTCAGTCCTGACTTTTATTTATAACCAAATCATTACTTGTCATTGTACATGGATATTTTCACAGATTTAATTAGTGTCTGCAAAATTATCTCAGTAGAATTACAGCATATTATTGCTTTAGTCCTTTCAGGGATCGGAGATACAGAAATAGAAAACAAACTACATTTGAAGGGATTACAAGTAACAGTGTGCAGTCAACTAAACTGTCAAGTAATCTGGGACACTTTTTAGTTAGTCAATTGGGACACTGAGGAAAACCCTTTGTGTAACATTAAACTATGTTCATGCAGTTTCTTTTTGATAATTTTGTGTTGTATTGATATAATAAAATGTATTTATTCTGGCCCTAAAGTTTTATCAAACATCAGTTGTTGCACATTTTTTGAGATACGAAGGGTTCAAATAAAATGGGATATTAAACTACAAAGAGTAAAAAAAAACATTTCAGTACTATAATTTGAGAACATAATGTAATAAAACATTTGCATAGCATTAAATTATTAGAACAGTAGTATATGCCACTCTGTTGCTAGAAAGCAGACATTTGTCTGTGTCAGTGTCTCCCTATACTCAACTAAAGTTTCTCTCATCTTCTACCTTCTCTTTCTTTTCTTTTTTCTTTTCTTTTCTTTTCAGCATGCTGTCTGGATGATAACAACTATAAAATCTATCACTCAAAATGCCTCATTTATTCTCTCCTTTTTCAGCGAGTGTCAGCTAAATAGCAGTCTGTGTGCTACATGTTAATATGAAAAAATAACAATTTATCCATTTATCAGTGCTGGAAAACAGCTTCCATGCGTTAGTGAGTGTTTTTTGCATGTTTGTGAACATTTACATAGAGGTATAAAGATTTTGACTCATTATTTAGGAATGTTCTTTTTTTAATTGGCTTATCAACCTTGTTAATGACAGTAAGATTAGGCCTGCCATGCAGTTTGTTTCACATTTTGTAATTAAATTGGTGAGAATGCCAGTATTTTAACCCAGATTGTGGCACATAAGGTGGGAAACATCTTTTTTTTTAAATTCTTTTAAAAAATTTGATATTATTGTAACACAACTAAAATTATTTAAAATAACAGAACAAATTAATATCAGAGAAGAAGACAAAATAATAATAATAATAATAATAATAATAATAATAATAATAATAATAATAATAATAATAATTTTTTATGTTTTTGGACCAAACAACGTCAAAAAATAATAATAATTTCGTCATAACACTTAATCTGCTTGCAGGTTTATTCCAAACTACTTTTAAGTTTTTTTTCCATGTGTCTTATTTCTCTTTTTGAATCAATTAGAGATGTACTGTAATGATACAACAAATGTCTGTCTATCTGCTGTGTGTGTGTGTGTGTGTGTGTGTGTGTGTGTGTGTGTGTGTGTGTGTGTGTGTGTGTGTGTGTGTGTGTGTGTGAAAGAGAGAGAGAGAAACCTTATTACCATGGCTATTTGGTATGGCATTGATCTCTTTATTCACTCTAATAAATTGTCCCTGAAGTCCCTGAAGGTAATCTCATTTTCACTGTTCTCTTCTCTCCCAACTTTTTAAAGATATTTGGGTCATTTTAAAAATTTTAAACATTGTGCCTCAAACTAAATAAAAATGTGATGTAGTGCAGAGTCCTGATATTATCAGGCTTTTCTCTTAGGTTGCAGGGTGACGCGCAGCGTTAAAACCTGACGCTCTGGGCGACGACAGTGAGCCAATAATCGGCTTGATCGGGTTGATGCCACATCTCGAGATCACATTACCCATTACCAACCAACCAACAATAACCGACAGCAAACCTGGGGTTGACTGCCTGACGCTCTGGTGCCAAACAGTCCCACAGGAACCACCTATTTATTTATTTATTCATCACCACATGTCCCATTGACAATACCGCATCTCCGCAACGCGTCCACTCATCTCCATAAACTCTCCTCTGCGTAATTGTCCGCCCAGATGTCCGAAAGTGTGCCTCAAATTATCTCCGAACGATTGAAACCCGGCAATAATTGATTAATAGCTGATTAGAGCAGATTAGGTTCGAGGAGGGAAAAGAGGGGGAAACGGGACTATTTTCATTCCATTTCACAACTCACTGGCTTTGGATTTGATCTGAGGTTTATTCTATGACAAATGAAGGGAAGCTGCAGAAGATTTCCCCTGACATCCTGAAGACCTCTTCCGTTTGCTCTCACTTTTGAAATCGGATTAACCCACTGAAACACTGCGCAACCTTTCAGCCGCGGGTTTGTGATATCAGACCTCAAGCTAAAAAAAAAAAAGACACTTGGGTGGGTGTTGTTGGGAAACAATCTGTTGCTGTATTGTGCGCTGCCGTTTGGTCCGCTGTTTGTCTCGTTTATAATTGCCATCCGGGTGTGTCCTAAATACCCCGAACTGGGACAGTGTATTCTTTATCATGTGGCTCTCCACAGAAGAAAAAAAGGGGAGGGGAGGGGAGGCTTAATAACCTATCAACAGATGCGCAGACCGCTACCAAAGACAAAACGTTTAGTGCGCAACCCTAATTAGAATATGCAAATCACCGTGTGAGTTATGTGGGACGCTTGGAGCTGCTAACGGATCAATCAGAGAAGGAGATGAATTAATTGATTAATTGATAGGAGGTGTTGACCAGATGTGAGTGTATGAGCCCTTCCTTAAATTTGACCTATGAAAGATTTCCTTTTTTCCTTCCTTTTGTTCTTTATATCAAAGAGAATTGGTCCCTCTATTTATTATTGGCATAATTCATGAGAAAGCATGGCTGTTATTAAGATGAATTTGCACGTCAGAACAACTATTTCATAGCATGATTATTTCGCGTCTTTAACGGACGAATTAACTAATTATGGCCTCCTTTGTGAAATGTAGTGTTTATCGATTAATACAGCTTTTAGGGCCTTCATAATACCCTTATTGTTCTAAGAAAACAAACACAAATATCGGGCTTATTAAAGAGGGTAGAAGCACAATTTTATCCAGGTTTAAGTTACATTAAATTATATTCATATATATTCTTGTTTTCTTTGTTTGTTATTTAGTTATTTTGCCAGTAATTTTCAATACTGACATCGTTTGATGCTGATTTCCTGGACTTGATGGGTTAATCCGGCTGTTTAAACTCAATGAGTCGGATCAGATGATCACACATAGAAATGCCAAGAGCTGCAGTGAAAGTAAGCCTTATTCTCGATGTAAGACAGGGGAAAAGAGTATACGCTGTCATTTCAAACCCAAAGTTTTTCCGATGAGGGTCTATAAAGCAGCTCCTTAAACTGTAATAGTGATTGATCATCACCAGGCTAGTAGCTGTTTTACAGAAAATCCATGAAAATATATTCCGTATGTGCGATAATAAAGCTCCGGAGCAACCACAAACTTAGTATGCAGTCTCTCCTCTCTTGTGATTGGCTGCCGCCTGTTGAATAAAAAGAGCAGTGGAGATAAAGAGAGAGAGTCACATTGCGGACTGCACCGGGGACTCTAGCTTTTTTTCTTTCTTTTCTTTTTTTTGGAGGGAGCGGAACAAAAAGTGGGATCATGACGGGGGAGGAGGGAGCAGTGCATTCAGACTCAGAGAATAAACAGAAATCAGCTTCACAGACTTGCGTGAGCCACGGGGGAGCCCACCAACAGCCGCCTGCAACCTGGAAGATGGCCCCCACTGCGCAGCGGCGCACCGGCTTTGGGATCCAGGAGCTGCTCGGCCTAAACATAGAGCCGCCGGCGGCACCGAGGCGACCGCTGGAAGCTCTGCCGCACAGGGCGCACATTCTGGCCGCCAGGTCAGCCCTGGGACATGGAGGCCTCGGGGTCGGCGTAAGCTTATTGCGACCAGAGAGCATACACTCGTTTTACAGCCAGCCTGCTTTTCTGGAGGTGCTGTCAGAGGCGCAAAATGTGCACCTGCAGCCGCTGCACAGGACAACGCGCGTGGACTCTGAAATGGACGCGCAGCACTCCACCAGCTCCGGTGAGACTTCATGTCGCTGAAGCACGAGGATAGTTTCAGTCAGTCGGAGTGTTTGTAATATTTAAGTTTATGTGAAGATTAAAATGTCATGTCAAATCCCCGAACCAACGTGAGGCAACAGGGAAAAAATGTCTCACTAAAAGCAAATGAGAAAAAGAAGAAACGAGAAGTTGTGTTGAAAATGCGCAAGTTAGGGTCGAACGGAAAAGGCCTTTGTATTTATATTTATTAAATTATTCATAAAATAGTTTTTTTTTTAACATGGCTGTGGTTTTTTTTTTTTTTATTCCAGGTGTGATGTGACACATTTTCAATTTTCCATTATAATATCTGTGTTGTTTTTATATTTATTTATCATTTGTCATCAAAGAAGATGAATATGATAATTTAAATAAATAATCGGCTCCAGTTTGTTATTCTAATTATTATTAGTAGTAGTAGCAGTAGTAGTAGTATTGTTATCAGTAATAATATTTTTTAACCTTTAACCTTTAAAATCATCCACAGATTCTGATGATATAAGCTCCTCCGGCGATCAGAAATTCTCCAAATCCTCTATGGGTCAGAGCAAGAAACGAAAGAAAAGACGACACAGGTAAAAACAAAACAAACAAACAAAAAAAAAAACCCGAAAGAAATATTAGGTCGTTATTTGTCGGTTTGGCCTTCAAGACACAGTGACTGTCATATATGATCGGTGAAGCTCACGTGAGCTTACGGTGTTTTATTTAATGCCGTATTTGGCGTAAGAATAAGGAGATTTTTCTGATTTCCTTCTGGATTTTCTTTTTGACTTTTCTTTTTAACGTGTTCTTGTTGCTTTTTTCTTTATAAAAATATGAAGGATATATATTTTTATTTTTCGTTTTGTTTTTTTCTGTATTTGTATTTATTCACAAGACACAAGATATATTCATATTTATAGGTGATTAAATCTGAAGTCACCGTTTTCTGCTTTAAGTGGTGCCTACATTAAAAATGTAACTAAGCTGATATCAACTAAAAATAATAAAATACTTTATTATGATATTTTTTCATAAAAAGATATTTCCTGAAAAATAAAAACCAGGTGAAATGAATGAACAGGCACAAGAAAAGCCATCATCACTGATAACTAATCAGACTGAAAGCATGATTGATTTTAAAAAGACTAAAAAGGCATCCAATCGTTTTTGGTCTTTTATTTTTCCTGCAGAACAATTTTCACATCCTATCAGCTGGAGGAGCTGGAGAAAGCTTTTAATGAGGCTCACTATCCAGACGTCTATGCCAGAGAAATGCTCTCCATGAAGACTGAGCTACCAGAAGACAGAATACAGGTGGGATCATGTCTCTGCATGAAAGCAGAAATCCACAATCTGATATCTTATATTTTCCACATGAAGATGTTTTCATCAGCTAACATTTTGATGTCTTTGACATCAAAATGTGGGCAGGTGATTCAGCTATTTGGTGCAATATGAACACTACCTCAGAGGTGACATCTTCTGTCACTATAGCAGACAGATAGAGCCAGCAGTCACCTGCTCCATCATCATCTTCACAAGGTCTTCACATTAGCAGGCACTTCACCTTCACACTGTAATTAGTTAATAGAGGAGAACTTATCACGTCTCTTCCTGGGAGAGGCAGGCCGCAGCCCTGAAATGAAATGATAACTACATAGAAATTAATTAGCAGAGGTCAGCGGCTGAGCAGGGGCCAGTGCCCGGCTGCTACGAGCATTTTAATTTCCCGTGATATTTGAGCGCCTGTCTCCCATCGACCAGGCCTGGAAATTAACTTATTTTTCAATCAGCCTCTTTGCCCCCCTCGGGTCACCTCGCAGGAAGCAAAGACACACACGCTGTCATGCACACTCACACTGCTGCTGTCAAAAAGCATGATTGCTCATCTGGGGCCCATCTTTTTATGAGATGGAGGTTATCGTCACATCTACCTGAATAGCTTTCCAGACCCAGCTTTCATCGTTTTTAATTCCAGGTCTGCAAAACGCATGCACGCACACACACACGCATGCTCATGTCCACACACACACTGGCACACGCACTCCACACACCATTTCTTACAATCTCATCCTGCATCCACGGCCATTTTAGGATGCTCATTTTCCCCCCCTGTTTTCCTCATCCATATTCACAAGCAGGCTGAGATGATTACACGGTCTGGCCTGGTGGAAATCAATTTAGGCACCTGAAACAGAAACACACACACACACAGGATAAGCATGCACGGGCTCAACACATTTGTACTGAAAATTAAAGTCCAGTTTGTGTGTTCAGACTCATACTGTGCAACACGTGCATGTGCAAAAGAAAACATTTTTAAGAAGATGTTTTTTAAGCCTCATTCCAATCTACCAGTCATATCCCAGTGCAACAAATAAAATATTACTGCACTCTGACGTGAATTGTATTATAAGGAGTTCAAAAAGCTGCAAAACGTTGAAATTAAAGGAAAATGACTCTTTAAATTTTTTTCAGAGCTTCAGAATTTTCCATTGTGCAACAATATTTGTCATTTCTGCAGAATGTCTCCAAATGTGTTTCCATATCACACACATGTTAATTGCATGCTAGACAATATTTTCCACTTCTGATATCACATGTTCTGCTCCCACATGCATAAACAGCCTTTATAACAGGGGTGCCAAACATAAGGGCCAGGGGCTAGAATCAGCCCGCCAAAGAAATATGTGAAGGACATAAACTTTAGACTTTTAACTCTATTTTCATACGTTTTACAGCTTTTCCTACTGAAAAAGACCTCCTCTGAGACCATTCATACTATAACAACGTAAATAAGTAATAGATAAACCATGAAATGACAGAAAGGCCCTGTATTTTAACGTCTAGTCTAGAAATGTATGATGTGCACAGTTGTTATATCTGACAGTCACTAGTCAATCTCCTGATTAGTTTAGCAGAGGCTAGCTAAGAAAACTGGTTTCAAGAGCTAACATAGACACACATATTCCAGCTGTTCAGCCAGAGTCACTTTAGGTCCTTGTTCGTCAGGACACATGAGCGTGAAATTTCTTACAGGGCAGCTGTGGCTACAACTGTAGCTTGCCTCCACCAGTGTGTGAATGTGATAGTGAATGAATAGTGGCACTGTAAAGGGCTTTGGGTGCCTTGAAAAGTGCTATATAAATCCAATCCATTATTATTAAAAACCAGAATAAAAATCCATCAAACATTTCCATTGAATAAATAGAGAAAAGTCTGTGTGATAAGCTAACAGAATTTTTTGTAATTTTACATTTAAAAAAAATCTCAGGGATTACATAAAACATTCTCACCACTTAAAATTATCTGTCCAGGTGTGGTTTCAAAACCGTCGGGCCAAATGGAGAAAAAGGGAGAAGTGCTGGGGGCGCAGCAGTGTGATGGCAGAGTACGGCCTGTATGGAGCCATGGTCCGCCATTCCATCCCGCTGCCCGAGTCCATCCTCAAGTCAGCCAAGGAGGGCAGCACAGACTCTTACGCGCCGTGGTTACTGGGTGAGTCCCATGGGTACTACATGTCAATCGCCTCCCTCACAACTCTTATTAATTATGAATCATCCTCCATCATTTGATATGCATTTAAAAAAATACACATCAGAAGCACATTTTGCAGAAATCTGCTAACACTCTCCTTTCTTTGACTGATAAATCAAATGCTAAACAATTAAAACAATCTTCTTTTATTTTGGTTGAATCCGCCTTTAAGTTATCTGTCCAAAAAAAGTCTCTTGATGCAAAAAGAAAAAAAAACCCTATATATTTGTGGACTGTGTTTGAGATTGAGTTGTGTCCTACGAGGACGGGGGTTAGCTTGCCTGAAATCAGGAGCCAATAAAAGCCTCAGCATCTCATTAAAAAGGTAGAAGTCAATACAGTGATAATCCTACTTCATCAGGGCAGATTAGACCAGATCTCCTCTCTCACCTCATGTCAATTGATTAGTTTAAATCAGTTACGTAACTCTAATTGAATAATAGGTTCTATTTGCCAATCTATCCCCTATGTATGGATCATTCCTTAACGCTCCTTTTTTTTTTACTTCACTGTCAAACATCTCAGTACGTTCGTTAAACTCACAGAAATAATCACAACAGGAAAGCTCTTTCATCTGTGACTTCTCCGTTCTCTTCTTTAAAAAAATACTGTTTTCCTGTCCAGGTATGCACAAGAAGTCTCTTGAAAATATCCACACGTCTCCAGGAAAAGCCCAGAGCCTGACACCGCCACCAGCTTCACCGGCACAAGAGAAATTGGTGGATAAAGTGATAGAGGAGGATAAGCCGAAGCAGAATAAAGACACCGGTTCACCGATTTCTAAAGAGGAACTGAGGGAGAACAGTATTGCTGCGCTGCGAGCGAAGGCGCTGGAGCACAGCGCTAAGATGCTCGGGACAGTTTCTGACAGAACAAACATTCACGTACCTCGTAAAGAGGAGGCTGAGGAGGAGTTGACGGAGAAGGAAACGGCGAAAGTGAGGAGAAACTGAAAGAGGCTACGGGATGCGCTCTGCAGAGTGGCAGTTCTAATGTTCAGAGGCGGCAGTCTTATTGTGTTGGTTAAACTGAATCTTGATGCACGCGGAGTCACTTTGTGTTATCATACGTTCCCTTAGGTTTATGTCTGAAGTCAAGTCTTTAGCTCTGCTGACTGATTGAGCTTCAATAACTCAAATGTTGTAATGTTTGTACAGCTAACCAAAAATGCACAACACATTTGTGCATGTCTTCTCCTGCAGCTGATGAGGAAGGGAAGGGAGGAGCACAGAAATGTTTTCTTTTGAGTTCATAATGCCAGGTGGCAAATTAAAAGGAAAAACCTGACTTCCCCACATCTACAGTTAGAGGATCGAGTGGCTTTGATGTTGTTATTGTGCTGTTGTGACATGGTTTGGATTCACTTGACCCCTTTGGATGGAAACCTTGTTGGAAATCGATGCAAAGTTGATCTGAGCAATCGCTTTCATGCTACGATGAAACGTTTCTGTCCTACTGGATGACACCGCCTCTGTCCACACAGGACACGAGGGATCGTGATTAATTATTCAAAAGTAAGATCATGTGAATTGTGTATAGCCGTAAAGCAGTGGCAGGTTTCGTTTTGTCTAAACCAAATGAGGGAATATATTTTTGAAGAATGCTCTTTGATCAGTGCAGTGGAGCTCAATCAATCCTACGGCACACTGAACTTGCTCTGGCAGCACATTACCATATAAAAAAAACTTTGTGTTGCTTTTTTTAAATGTAGTGTGTCATTCTTCTGTCATACAGCTTGGCAGCTTTTCATGTAAGCAGAGCCTGGATTCAAGAGACTTTATATAACTTTGACCTCTGACTTTTCTGTGACCCCACATCTCGGCTCGGTAACTGACACAGGTATCACTAAAAACAGTCGATACCAAATCCTGTAAAAAGGTTTCCTCAGCTCTTAAATAAGTGGTGTAAATTTTGAACATGCCCCATAGGTAATATGGCGTTATGTATAGTTAACACCAAGTGTGTGTTTGTTTCTGTATAAATGTAATTGTAGCAATTAAATCTTATTGGTATTTAAATAATGTGCTTTTTGTTGCTTCGTGTGCAGAGTTTGAGAAAGGTACGTTTCACTGTGGAGATTTTATAATGCAATCAAAATAAAACCTAGGTGGTTGGAAGTAACATTAAAAAACTAAACAAAAAAACAATTGAAACTGAGAGGATGAAAGTCATAAGGCCAAAAGCAGTCGTACTGGGATCATATATAATGATAGAAAATGATCTTTAGCCTAAATTAAAATAATGCTGATGCTGAAAGGTGAGCAAATCCAAATCTTTTTAATATACTGTAGTTAACTATAAATCCAGGAATGACCGTCTGTCAAAGACATGTCCTTTAACCTGCTGCATCACTAAGTCCTGCATCTAAAACACGCTTGGTTTAGCTCTGTAAGACAGCACTGAATAAAATCAGCAGGCAGGTCATTCGGCATCTGTTTCAGGCATATTTTGCAGGTTAATCAACCTCTGAAAAGCTGCTGGTACTTGAAAACTATAACCGTTAGGGCAGAGGTTAATGGGAATTTCACACTGACAGCAAGCGATTATGAAAACAGATGGATGGTTTCTTTATAACCTGTTGCAGAATGCACTAAGCGACACTCTGGAGCCTTTTAGCCTTCAATCTCTTTTAATGAGGTCTGTATGAGTTGCAGAACAGAGAAGAAAATAGAACTAAAATAAATACTATACGCCCCTACCCTTACCTAGGGCCACGAGCTGTGGGTAGTGACCGAAAGAACGAGATCGCGGGTACAAGCGGCGGAAATGAGCTTCCTCCAAAGGGTGGCTGGCCTATCCCGAGATAGGGTGAGAAGTTCAGCCATCCGGGAGGGGCTCAGAGTAGAGCCGTAGAGAGTGATGTGCTCCTCCACATCAAAAGGAGCCAGCTGAGGTGGTTCGGGCATCTGACAAGGATGCCACCTGGGCGCCACCTGGGTGAGGTGTTCCAGGCATGTCCCACCGGGAGGAGGCCCCGGGACAGACCCAGGACACGCTGGAGAGATTATATCTGTCGGCTGGCCTGGCCTTGGTGTTCCCCCAGATAAGCCAGAGGAGGTGGCTGGGGAGAGGGAGGTCTGGGCTTCTCTGCTTAGGCTGCTGCCCCCGGATAAAGCAGAAGAAGATGGATGGATGGATGGATGGATGGATGGATGGATGGATAAATACTATTACATATAGTGTTAATATTACATATAAAATTAAAGATGACCCAGTGGTGTGGGGGTTAGCACTGACACCACACAGCAAGCAAGTCCTGGGTTCGAGGACATGTTCTGTGTGGGTTCTCGCAGACTTCTTCCCACAATTCAAACACATGCCTGTCAGGTTGATTCTAAATTAGCTGTACATGTAAATGGTTGTCTATTTCTCTGTTTGCCCGGCAACAGTCTGTTGACCAGTCCAGCTGTGATGGGGTGAAAGGTGGGATAGGATAAGCAGTCAAGAAAATGGATGAATATTAAAAAAAACTGGTGAGTTAAGGTCTTAGAATAAAACATGTTTTTTAGTACAGAAATGACTAACCAACCTACTTAAAAACCCACTGAGGACCTGCTGTAGTGACACATGGCATCACAGTTGCATAAGACTGGATAAAGTTTAATTATACCAAAAGTTAGGAAATTAGTGTGCTACAGAAGCCAAAACACACAACCTGTACAACACAGCTTGAATAAACAAGACCTATTATGTTTGTGCTCATCTTTGTTATACACTGAACGTTATGGTGAATGGGGGTACATAAAACATGACTTTAGAATAAGGTGTGCAAGCAGTCCATGTGAGCCAAGGTCCCAGGCAGTTTTTTCTTCTCCTGGATCTACATGATGTCATGTAAAGCAGATCATCCATACCAATCAGAAGAAAGGCCCAGTAGAAGATAAAAGAGGATTATTTTGAATTATGAATCACGCAAAGTTTCTCTAGTAAACTTAAAGAAAAAAGTATGAACCTGGAATTAGGTATGATGGAAGTTTTACTTTTATAAAGTTTATCTCAGCACTTCTTTATCTTTAAAGCAATCCTCACAGTGATGTGTAAAATACAACAAGCAGAACTTTACACTGTTGTAAAGCCTCTGTTTAAGCTCTCATTAATGGGCTGATTGATCCAGATATTGATTGCATTGGATCTATACTAGCACAATATGATTAATACTATGTTTCTATATTTAAGTTGTGTATGCAACCCAATGAATTCTATTAAATTAATATTTTGGGGAAAATAAACAAATATACTTCAAACTGGTATTTATTTGGTGTTGGATCGATACCAACTGCTCTTCTTTACTCACCCTAAATACCACTCTTTTGAGCCAAACAAAGCAGCTCCACTTGGTGGCCACATACGAAAACACTGTTAAGTGAAGTTAAGTACAAGCTGTACGCGGCTGCAGCTGGCATCGTAGGTGGCAGTCTGTAAAGTGAAGACATCAAAGCCAAAGTTAAACTGTACTGCGGATGTTCGTTAATATCCGGGAAGCTCAGCGAAGTTGTTTAAAGCGTTTAAATGTGAAATAATAAAGATTTGTAGATGTAAACTAACATACGTGGCTATGATGGTCCAGCATGCAACGTAAACAGTGAGTCTTATTGTTGAAAGTGGTGGATTTGAGAAACAGTTTGTACCCAGAGGTGAGCAATGTTTGAAAAGACTTTAATGAGGTTGATTTCAACATTACCCAACTTCGCGGTGAAAAACAACTTGAAACTCTGTGGGGGTGGGTTTATTTTCTTGATATGTTCACTAGTTTGTAACCGCCCTTTAACGCATCACTCCTCAAGCCCTTCCTCTTTGAACTCTTCGGAGTTTCCAAGTTTTCAACTCTCGAAATTTAATCTGTGTAATTTCCAGGATATCTCAACGACCTCATACGTGACGGGAACATCGTCCAGCAAGCGCAGAGCACTTTCACTGACAATATGTGGCTGCCGTGCGGTTGCACTTCCAAGTACGTCGCTTCTTCTTTCGCTCGTCGGACTCTTGCTTCTTATCTCCATGTTTCGGGTCGAAGTCGGTGCAACGTCGCGGCGTTCATGCCGGAGGCTGCGGGCTTAGAGGGGGTGTCGGGCCGCGCGGCGCTGCGGGAGTTGTCCGTCTCCAACAGTGAGAGCTTCTGGGCCGCTGTGGCGCGCCACAGGCTCTGCTGGAGCACTCCTTTCCACACCGTGCAGGACTGTGACCTAAGCCGAGGCAAGATCAAGTGGTTCGAGGGAGGAAAGCTGAATGTGTCCGGTGAGATTGCGTCCACTTTTAAGTAGAATACAATAAGCATGTGTGCCATCGCACAAAGTTTTCTGTGCTCCCTTTGTGTTGAGAAGCAAAGCCAGGTACTACTGTATGTCATATATCTGCACATACAGTATCCTCATGGCACTGTGCTGATTAGTACACAAGGAGACATCTGTCATCTCTCTGCGTGCTTCCTTCCGGACTCTTGCAGTGAACTGCTTGGACCGCCATGTGCACACCTGTCCTGAGAGGGTGGCTCTGATCTGGGAGAGAGATGAAAGGGGGTCAGAGATGAAGTACACGTACGGGTAAGTAGTTTGGAGTTGGTGTTGCACTGATGGTTCTGGTTCCTGAAGTTCATGAGCATGTGTTTGCAGAGAGTTGCTGGAGATGACCTGTCGACTGGGCAACCTGTTAAGGCGGCATGGTGTGAAGAGGGGGGACTGCGTCACCATCTACATGCCTACCTGCCCGCTGGCCGTGGCGTCCATGTTGGCCTGTGCCCGCATTGGTGCGGCCCACAACGTGGTGTTTGCGGGCTTCAGCGCAGATGCCCTGGCAGAGCGAATCAGGGATGGTGAGATGTTATTATTGAGCTCCTAAAGCTGCCTTAGAGCTGCACTTGTCAACATTTTAATATCACAGCGGAGCAAATGACATCATGTGCTGTGCCAGTGGGCACTACTCATCGACCCAATCTGTAGTTCCCCTCAGCAAGGTCCCCAATATTTTATATTTAATCATTTTTGTGATTTAGTTTTGGTTCTTCATCCATGATTTTGCAACTGTCTTATTAAACAGCTCTAAAAACTAGGAATCAATATGTAACTTATGTCTTTAAGGGGCAGGGCGGGATGTTTGCATTTATAACATTACATCAAATAAGTCACAAAGTTAAAGACACTGAGTGAAGTGATCAATACTGATCATACTGCATACCGAGTGCAGTGGTTAGCTGTGAGACTTTGGGTCCTAGCATCCATACTGTTACCCATGCTGCCCACTGTAGTCCATAGACTCCCCACATAACAGCCGCCTACCAACTGAGCATTCAAAATGCAGCTCACCACTCTACAAAAACTCCCTTTGTCTCAAGGAGCATGGCAAACAGTCCATGGCATTGAAACAGCTCCCCCAGTTCCAAGAAATCTTACTGAGGAATCATTCGAAGAAACCTAGTTCTTAAATCAAGAGGCCCCACAGTGAAGGGAAACAGGTTGCAAAGTGCAATCATAGTTTAAGGCAGCCATAAGGAACTTATTAATTAACTACCAATGTCTCAGTGTAAAACAACCCAGAACACCTGCAAAGGGGCCATGCCTATACCCCAAACATCAGAGCTTTTTGGATACTCCAAAACATCAGACAGGCGATTTTAAACTGTTTGTTTCTTTGTGTTATTTATTCTTTTTTTTTTTCAACTTCTTGCAGCTCAGTCCAGCACAGTCATCACGGTGAACCAGGGGGTCAGGGGTGGTAAGGTCACAGAGCTGAAAAAAACCGTGGACACAGCAATGCAGAGCTGTCCGACAGTAAAGCAGGTTTTTGTTGCAATGAGAACAGACAATCCGGTCACCATGACGGCCAGGGACATTGCCATGGAGGAGGTGAGGGAGCAGAAAGCCAATCAAATCCTTGAAATCCAAATACAAGCTGTAGAGGGCGAATTTGGTATTTTTGAACAAATAACCAAAAGAAGAAAAATCACAGTTACTCATGCGAGTTTCTTTTAAATCTGATCAGTAAACAAAAACAATCAATACTAGCATGCGCATTTTGCATCTTATATTATATTGTTTGCAGTGAGCAAACAAAACATTAGAAATGAGAAATTAAGAAATCTCACACTCATGTTTCATGACGAACAAGGACCTAAAGTGACTCTGGCTGAACAGCTGGAATATGTGTGTCTATGTTAGCTCTTGAAACCAGTTTTCTTAGCTAGCCTCTGCTAAACTAATCAGGAGATTGACTAGTGACTGTCAGGTATAACAACTGTGCACAGGCTCTACTGACCTCCTGGCACAGTGACAGATACAAAATCTAAACACGGGTTGTTGTGTCTTCTTGTGATCTGGCCTTAAAAATATAAATGGTGTTGTAACTGTGTTTATTCACTGCATCGTACAGGAGATGCTAAAGGAAGATGTTGTGTGTGAGCCAGCTGTCATGAACAGCGAGGACGTCCTGTTCCTCCTTTACACATCTGGCAGCACAGGGAAGCCCAAAGGTCTTGTCCACACGCAGGCTGGATACCTTCTGTATGCTGCGCTCACACACAGGGTAAACAATCACTGTTTTCATTATCGGCAAACACAGTGTTTAGCTCCCATTTCCCAACAAAGGCCATAAATGGCAAAAATGTGATGTCTAATTCCGTGTGACTATGTGTGAGAGGAAATCTCAGCCTGGTTTGCAGCACATTAAATGAGGAGGTTCTCTGAAATGTTTTTTGCATGATGGGACAGTTCAAGATTTTTGCTGTGTTCAGAAGGGTCAAATATTAGTATAATATTGAGCCACGTGGTAGTGAATATTCAAAGTATTTTTATGTTTTTGTCTCGTCTAATCCTCTAATTATTCCCTGTCATCACCAGTATGTCTTCAGCTACCACGATGGTGATGTATTTGGCTGTGTGGCGGATATTGGCTGGATAACGGGACACAGTTATGTGGTCTATGGGCCGCTGGCCAACGGGGCAACCACTGTGCTGTTTGAGAGCACTCCTATTTACCCAGACCCAGGTATGAACATGATTACAACAAAATGGAAATTATGATTTGAGGTGTCCAAATACACTATCACAAAATAAAAAGTAAAATGTTTCTTTGATGGAAAGACAATATTGTAAATTTTTGTGTTTAATGATAGTTTAAAACCTGACGAAATGAACTTATGTGAAGAAACAAGTGCTCCTATTTCATGCTATGTATTGTTTTAAAGAGAGATCAGCTGAAGTTGAACTAGAGCTGGGGTGTACCTTTGTGTAATTCCAGATTGCACCACAAGATGGTGCAGCAAACTGCCGTGTGAGGGATTTATGATACCGTGTTTGCGTTTCTTTGCATAACTTTATGACTGTGCAGAGTGAAGGATTATTGATATGCAGTCATATGAAAAACCAGCAGTGTGTAGCTTCCCATGGTTGACACCGTATGCAGGTTGAATGCTGATTGACTGAAAAGTAAGCCAGAACAGGAAGTGATAGCCGAGTGTCTCACATGGTGGGAGAAGTAGCATGAAAAGTGATTGGTTTAACACTCGGCTCTTTGTTGGTTATGGCTTGCTGAAGGACTGATAAAAACACAAACAAGAGTAGTGTGCAGACTGTTTGTGACACTGCCCCCTGGTGACAGTAAACAGCTACAACATGTAGATGACAATCTGCAAAGTTTTCCATTGTTTGAGCCGTTATTGGCACAGAAAAAGGCAAAGCTTCTTCAAGTGATAGGTTTTTAAAAATAAATATAAAAAACAGTCGAAGGGTTCGGTTTTTAGGCTACTGCTTTATCCTAAACCCAAAAGTTAAAAAAATAAATCAACATTTTGTCTTGTTCACAGGAAGATACTGGGACATGGTTGAGAGACTCAAGATCAACCAGTTTTATGGGGCCCCCACAGCAATCCGCCTGCTGCTCAAGTATGGAGATCAGTGGGTGAACAAGTACGACCGCTCCACCCTCAAAACCCTCGGGTCTGGTATGTGAAACAGGACGCTTAGAAAGAATAAGTATTTTTTCACCTGGTTCTCATTTGTGTAGCAATAGACATGAAGCCATGAGGCGGTTATAGACAGAGAGTTGCTGTGTAAAAAGTTTTAAGCCATCTCTAATTTCTTTGTGTTGAAAGAGACTTTCCAGCATTTTTTTTTTCTTGAGCAATAGTTCAAGATTTCTGAAGGTCTTTTAAAGTTTTTCTTTGGATACTGGCTGCTTTTTCACTTATTTTCTGTCCGGGCCTTGTACCTGACAATTTTTCGAGGAAATTTTCTTTTTTGGTTGTTTATTCAAATCTAAAATGCCAACTATAACACACTTTGACAGGCATAAAATACTGTTTTTGCGCCAACAAGATTACTCATAAAGAGCTATTAGCCAATAACTTGCCAAATCTTAGCATGGTGTGTAGTATGTCCTCCTTAAGTAAGTCAAGACGAGGGGAAACACGGAGAAAAGGCTAAAGTTTGCCGAATGACTCAAGAGCTGGACTGAACCGCTCTGCTCCCAAAGAAAGTCTGTCTCTGTGGAAGCAAATTGTAAAGAAATGACAGGTGGCTGAAAACTTTTGCACAGTACCGTATGATTTAAGCTATTCTTGTCTGTCTGCAGTGGGCGAGCCGATCAACACCGAAGCATGGGAGTGGTACCACAGAGTGGTCGGGGACGGACGCTGTCCTGTGGTGGACACCTGGTGGCAGACCGGTAACCGAACACACAGAAGTGACAGGTTTATTCACCGCATTTTACAACACTACACTACATTTTACAGTAGCACAAACTCAGCTGGATACTTCAGAAATTTAAATTTTAGATTATTGGAAAGAGTAAAGTTACAAAATTCTGTATTTTATTTTATTTTTTAATGCAGCTGTCTGCATATAACAACCAAAGAGACTAAGGCTGGTTAAAATACCAGTGAGTCAGCTGGACCCTGGTGTCCCAAGTTATTTGCAGTTAATAACTGGTAATTATTAACAATCAGTGGATTGAAGTTATTGTTTCTTGCGTAGCGATGTGATTACAGCACGTTTGAGAGAAACGGCGAGAATCCCAGCCTGTAAAGAGACGTTGATCATACTTCTCAAATGATGTATAGAACAATAAGATACAGATGTGTAGTCTATAGTCTGTCCTACTCTCCTTATATTGCCCTGTATTCTCTAGCTGATCTGTAATAATTCCTTTTTTGTGCTCACATTGAATTTTCATGCTTCACGGTGAGTCTTAGAACATTCCTCATTCCTAATCCTTCCACAATGGGAACTTACTGTAAGGTCATGAACTCCTCCTCAAACACAGCCACGTCTGCAGACACTAAAACAGTCCATCTTAAAGGGGAGAGAAGCTGCCTGAGTCCCTGTAGCAATAACAGTGTTATGTAATGTGTGTGTGAGACAGAGAGAGGGAGAGAGACATTTCTCTTCTCTTAGGAGTTAAAAATCAAACCACGTGTTTTCTTCTCAGACTTAAAGATTATTTCAGGAGCGGTTCAGGAAACCAAAGGAATGAGATTTTTTTTTTTTTTTAAAAGAAAAAAAAGAAGAAAATTCAGTGGCTTTAACACTCAAGTCATCCACCACCAAAGCGGGGATAAGGACATTTAGATCTGAAGAGGATGCACTTCTCCTGTGGACTAGTCTGTGGTGCCAAACCAAAATCATGTGATTCCAGCACTGAGTATCCAAACGTAAAAACAGGTTGGACTTTCACAAAATGTTAGGATAAACGTGACGAGTCTCCGTTTCACCAATTTATTCTGCTCACGTCAACAAACACGCTAACTTGTCTGCCTTGTGGCCTTACTTGGAATGCTGAGATAAACCTTTCCCACACAGAGGTCTCACCAGCCCGCCTACGCTTGGTTCTGTAATTCTGGCAGATATCAGAACAAAAGTGCTGCTTTTGTACTGGCTTTTGTACATCCTCCTTGTTTGTGTACACACAGTTAAAACACACTTGCAGTGCTGTGGAAAAAGTATTTGCCCCCTTCCTGATTTTTTTTTTTTTTACCTATTTGACACAATTAAGTGCTTCAAATAATTAGACAAATTGTAATATTATACAAATAAAACCATCATAAATACAAAATGCAGTTTTATAAATGATGATTTAATTTATTAAAGGAATAAAACTATCTGACCCTGTATTGAAAAGCAATTGCACCCGGCTTGTTAAATCATGAATTAACTGTGATTAACCTCATTTTTTTGTATTTACCCTCAAGGTAACTTTGTATAATATTAAATTGTTTGATCTAAAAGATGTAAGTGTGACAAATATACAAAAAACAGACAAACAAACGGGAAGCTAGGATGTAGCCAGAACCAGTTTATCAGGCAGGCACTGCTGCTTCATCATATTTATTATATTTTATTATTTATTAAAGCTCCAAACCAAAATGTTCTCATAAGTTTTCTTTTCTACTCTTTCACACAATTGCTTTTTTATCTTTATTTTCTTTTACATAGGGTTATCAGAAGGTAGCAGAAACGTCTACCCCCTTCCTTTTTATTGGTCAGTTGTGGCAGTTAGCTTGTTTCGACAGCAGGATGCACATGTTGTGACTGCAGAATTTATGCAGAAGTTTCCACTGGAAAGAAGAACTTGCAAAATAAACGTGTCCTTCAGCGTTTGATGACTGAAAGATTCCAAAATGCTGCACAAGTGTAGCATTGGATGGGACATAATAACATCATGTTAGAAATCAGCTGATTTTGCTAATAATGTCAGTTATCTCTTCATTAGATTGCGTAATGACCTAATGGTGCAGAGCAGGGTTAATTACCATACAAATGGCAAAAGTCCATAATTAATTGACGATAATTAAACATTAGAGCATCATGAGCTTGAGAATTACAGACACAGATATGACCTAAATACCCTACTTCTGTAAAAAGGATTATGTTGTTATGTTATTTTCATGGTCCAGTGTTTTCAATTAGGGCTAAGTGGCATTATTCATAAATGCCATTTGGTTGATCTGGAAGCAAGTAGCCTGTTTAGAGAGGAAAATGGATTTTGAGCCGTTGCTGGCGTACAGCCTCCATGTAGGATGATCCAGGACTGGAGAGGTGAGAGGACAGAGGAGGATGGGAGCTTGAAAAGTAGCTTCAATCAGCGCAAATGAAGGGGAAAAATAGCTTAGTGTATTTAAACTTTCAGACACATGATGCCATCTAATCACTGGAAAAAGAGATAACCTAGTTGTGTCCAAAGTTAGCAAAATTCAAACTGGAAGCCGGGCTTCCTGTCTCCGGTTTTTATACTTAACTGCCTGTGCGCTCGACCTGGACTGTTTTTGTTAATCACATTGTTTCTTGGGACTGTGAAGCAACGACTCTCACAGTTACAGCTGATGTAAACAGGATGCCAGTGGCTAATGCTATTGTCGAATCATCTGTTGTGTCCTATTTTGTAGAAAGTCCCCTCTGTTGCTACCAACACCACCAGGAGGATTACCAGAGGTCCCTGATGTCCACGCAGACCTAATAGCATTTAATTTACTTAGTATGGCTGTAATTCCACAATCTACATCTGTAGCTATGAGAAGGGCTTACAGTAGATTCACAAACTGCGATTTATTGAACTATGACAACATGTATGGGAATGCAGTATATTAGGCAAAAACAGAGTTCGTACAAGTGATATGACCGCCTTTATTCTTCAGTTCTTCAGTTCACAGCCTGAACTCTCTTCGTCAAACTTTCTTCTTGGATGACATTCAAAGCTTTTCTTTAGACGTCGGCTGCCTTTTTTTCTGCTGTCTGTTAAGATGATCCCACACGCCTTCAATAATGTTGAGGTTTCCCTTCCCCAAGAAGGACCTCTTGACATTCAACCTTCCACTTAGCACCTGGATTTTAAAAAATGGTCTATGTCAGGTCTTCCTTTTGAATTTCCTCAATTTTTTTAAAGAACATAATTCACGTTATGGCAATAAATATCAGGTTTTCAGCTAATAACTCTTTGGGAGTTTAAAAATACTGTTTTGTGTGTGTCAAAGTGTGTTAACTTTGGTATGCTGCTACTAAAAAGTGCCTAAATTGGTTCTTTGTCTGTTGTGTGTAGACACAACACTGATTCATCCCTTGAGTTAGGTACCTTTTATGCTTGAATGATTCATAGATCAGTGTTAAGTGCTTAATAAACAAAACAAAATCCTCTGAGCAACATTAAATTGGCAAAAACTGTTTAAATCAATGTGGCTAAGCAGAGAAATACAATGTATACTGAACACATCGCTGGGCCAAGTGCGGATCTTTGGGGAACATCTCTACCAAGTTTCAAATAAAATTTATAATAAAACTAATAATAATTGCCATAGCTAACAGTGGGATGTAATTTATTCCTTTGTACTATTAAATTTACTAAATGTGTCTGTCTGGAAAGCTTATTAAAGATTTTTATATACACTAACCAGTTGGCATGGGGCTGAGTGTGAGGGACAGGGCAGAGTAATCTGAAGGAAAAATGTTGAAATATATTCACACTTTACTCGCTCTGCTCTGTTCTCAGAGACGGGTGGCATCTGCATCGCACCAAGGCCATCAGACCCAGACGCAGAGATTGTCCCAGGAATGGCTATGCGACCCTTTTTTGGCATTAACCCGGTGCTTATGGACACTGAGGTGTGTGTGTGTGCTGTTCCTGCAAATGTTGGATGGCTGGGAACGACCTGGGAGATGGGGTCAGATTAGGATTATAAAATAGCCACCAGCTGTGTCACTTTTGATACTCCTCCCACTCCCACGATCAGGCCAAGTGTGTGCATGCCAAACTCCCTATTAAAAATCTGTCGCTCTGTTTTGTGCTGATTGAGGTTGCTTTAGCATTTGCAAAGCACAGATTGTGCTGACAGTTGGAGTGATGTCCCTGAGCCAGTCTTTTTTTCCTGCTTCTCATAACCAAAACATAGCAAAAAAAAAATCACCCAATGAGCTAAATGAGGTTTAATGTAGCGTTTCTGTGTGTCCTAGGAATGTTTTAGAAGTTTTGTAACACTGTTTTTTTTCTGGTTAACATTTAGCATTGTTTTTGGATTTCTTCAGGGCGAAGTGCTGACTTCCAACAACACATCCGGAGCCCTGTGTATGGCTCAACCTTGGCCTGGTATGGCCAGAACCATTCATAACAACCACCAGAGATTTATTGACACGTACTTCCAGCCTTATCCTGGTACAGTTTTACGAGTTCAGGAACAGACCGCCTCTGTTTTCTTAATGTCTGTTTTCACAGAAAGAGAAATGTACAGTCTCTAAATCCTTCTGTACTGGTGCACATAATATAGGTTACTTCTTTACTGGTGACGGTGCCTATCGGTCTGAGGAGGGGTACTACCAGATCACCGGCCGCCTTGATGATGTCATTAACGTGAGCGGTCACAGGATAGGGACAGCAGAGATAGAGGACGTAGTGGTAAGGCCAATAACTGATTAACTTGAATGTCTTGCATTTCAAAAGCTCAAAGATACCTGATTAAACAAGGTTCACAGCTCTGAGCTTAAAAAGCAAAAACCACGTCATCTTTAAAGTTGAGTCCTTATTAAGCTCACAATGCATCTTTCTCTGGGAGCCCCAGAGCAATCTTCAATTTCTCTGTAAAACTGACCTGACTTTTATGTTGAGGAGCATCACTGCTAATGGGAGCATGGTCCGGCTACAGCCCACAGCCTAAATAGTAATGCGCTGTAGAGCTCACTTATCAGCTCATCACTTCGCTGATATTACAGATCAATATTAACTATTTGCCCATCTATAAATATTGGCATTTATAACGGTCAGAAAAAGAAAACAAAAGAAGACGCCCTTCAAACATGTTGTTGACATTGCACACTGTGTCCACCAGAGGGCAATCTTCAACTTCTCAGTTGGAAAACCCCAAAATGCAATAAACAGCCGATTCGAGTGGAGGTGGGCGGAGCCAAAATGAGTAAATAAATTACTACATATTACAAATGTTATAAATCTGTTCAAGTTTACTGTATCTGAAAGAAAAAACATATTGGCTGATGTATCAGATGCACTATATGGTTGTTGTTTAATTTTTTTGTTTTAAAGCAATAGTTTAATGTCTTTCTAGAAGAACCACAAAGTATGAAGATGCTGAATTTATCCTGTTTGTGACTTCTGTAAACAGAATCAGTGTCCTGCAGTGGCTGAATCTGCTGTCGTAGGGTATACACACAGCATCAAAGGACAAGGTAAGAAACTCAGCACAGTTCCTTTCAGTGTAAATCAGTCAGCAATGTGTTTTGCTAAATGTAGCAGATAAATGTGTGATTTTTGCATCGTCAGGTGTCTACGCCTTTGTGGTGCTTAAAAAAGGCATCGATGTACAAGAGGCAGACTTGTCGAGGCAGCTAAACGGCATGGTATCTGAAAAGATCGCCAAGTACGCTTCTCCGGATTTCATCCAGGTAATTTTGTAGTGCTGACTTGAAAATGCTGGCAGTCATGATCTGACTTTATTTAATAACTTCTCATTGTGTTGGTGTTCGTCACAGTTTGCCAAGCGTCTGCCAAAAACCCGCTCGGGTAAGATAATGCGACGGGTGCTGCGTAAAGTTGTGGAGAGCGACTTGGAGGGTTTGGGCGACCTGAGTACTCTGGATGATCCTGCAGCAGTTCAGGAGATCATTCAAGGTCACGAGAAACTCTTGAGTAAAAATCGATCATAAGGTGTTTTCTGAAGGAGAGAAGAGTGCACAAGGCAAGCTTGCATGTTGCACTCCATTTTCATGAACCAGACCTGTGCCTTTGTATGAACACATATTTTTAATAGCCAGATCATTCCGATAGGCTCTTTTAAAATCTGTCTACACTCTCCAGATAAACCAGACCCACAAAACCTTTAAAAAGTTCCCACCTAACCTCCCAGAACTTTTTACAAAATAATGTTATTTCATGAAGCCAGATGAAATTTCAATTTTTGGACTATTTTACAAGTTCTATCCCCTTTTAGAAAGGGAAACATGGAATTTTCAGGGTTGGAAAAACAAATGTCAATGTCAAATTTGACAATCTAACCCTCTGAATCCTATCCTGGCCACTTGTGGCCACGAACAAGCTGAAAGGGTGGTGATTTTGAACAGATTCAGAGGGCTAAAAACTGCAAACGAATTAATTTTACACAAAAATTCAAACTCTAAATCCAAAATCTTGTTTTTGTTCAGCACAATTTTCTAACCTTGAGCTTCAATGTCACAAGAGGTGGTATAGTCAGAGAAAAAAATTGCACCAAATTATTGTCTATGACACAATAACGGGAAAAAAAGCATTGCTTGGTGATAATTCGCTACAGAGAAACTCAAAATGTGCACTTGAAAGAATTTACTACATATGAGAGGTCTCTTTTTAGCCTACATTTTGATAGGATGATTTTTCTATCAGTGATTCTTAGGGTCAAAACTAATTTTCTATTGTTTCAAATTTCATATATCAGGTAGGAGATGGCATTTTTGAGCCATCACATGCCGGAAGAAATAATGTGAATTAAAAAGCACAAAATGTTGATGTACTTCAAGCTGGGATCATAGTATGAAGGCATAATTTTGTTTGCCTTCATCAAATATACCAATTTTCATGTGAGCAGACATACCGACATTTCTTAGAAGGAATTAAAAAGAATATTGTGTGAAAGTCTGTTTATTACACAGTAATAACGTTTTCCCATTGGAAATGTTGTACACTAAGCTACTGTAAAGTCACATAAATGCATTAAAGATTTACAGAGTTGTTTTTGTTTTTATCTTTAAATGTGAACTTTATGTGGGACCAGAACTTTTTGAGTGGTGTGACACACGAGCCTTCTTCAAACTATTAAAGTACCTCTGTTAACAGAACAAAGTGTGCTGTCTGAGAGCACTGGAATGTTAGCGAGTGACACGGCGAGGACCCTTTACGTTCCTTATTCCCCACACTGATAGACGATGTTGAGTCAATAGTATATAATTTAATACAATGTAATCACAGCCTTACAGTACACCCCACATCTATATACCTTATCTCTTCAGCATGTGTTCGATTATTATCTTTTTCTTAAAAATATTTAGATTAAAAGCACCGTCTCCGCTGAAGACCAGGTCAGTCTAGAAGCTGCCATTTTTGGGGATAACAGATGGCGTACACAAAAGCAACAGAACCAAGAAGTGATTGGGTGAAATTCCAGTTTTTTTTTTTAGTCCACACACTAAAAATCAAAAGTTAATAGTGGATTAGTTTGATTTGGTTCTAGGAAGAATTTTCACATTCTTCTAAAGACACTGTGTAAACATAAACACTGGTTAAAGCATTTCAAATAGATGGCCACAGTCACATTGCTTCATCTTTGAGACTGAGGTTTCCGCTAGTTCCTTTTAACTTTGTTAACTCCCATCGGCCTTCTCCACACAGCTTCAGCTGGACATCATGGTACTGGAAAAACAAAGTTTCACATAATGTAGTAACAGTTGGACAGATCTGAGAACAAGGTAAGAGAAGGCAGGTGAAACTAAGCCACAAGAATGTATTGCTGATCAACTTTACTCTTTTTGGAGATGTGGAAGAGTCATACAAAGCAACCCACTTACTGGGATTTGGCTCAACAACAGTGACTAAAGCAAAAGATGTGTCCAAGAACAGCAAAAGTTTTGAGTGTGCAGGCTGTAATTTCCACCAGTTATCCTAACTGGAGTCAGGATGTTTGGCCTACCTTCTCCAGGCTGCTGCGATGTCCCAGACTGACCAAAGTCATGCCCAGCTGTTTGCAAGTTCGGTACAGCTGTGCTTCCGCCTCCTCGGTCAAAGCACTAGTGGCTTCATCTAAAACTAAAGTCCAAACACCAGAAAATTGCAGACTAGAACACATCAGTCCGGTAAACACAGCAAACAGCCTCAGCTCACTTGAACCACACACTCAGCACGACTAAAAACTTCATCAGTGCATGCATGTTTTCTTATGAGATGCTCTAGCGAGTATCCAGAGGAGCATACTTGCATATTTGGGCTGCAGGTAGAAGAGTCGTGCAAAGGAGAGACGCTGCATTTCACCTGGAGACAGAACATCATACCTGCAGAGAACAAAAACAAGCTTGAGGAAGTATTACACAGTTTTACTTCTTTAATTGTTTCTTACCAGTTCCAATCCACTTTCTCATCCAGCCCGCCCGTCCGTTTCAGCAGACTGGACTGCACACACATCAAGGTTTTATTTAGCATGAGTGAAAATGAAAAGTAATTTCATGAAATAACATGCATTGGAGATGAAAGCAGAATTTATCTCACCACTCCGGCTAGTTCCAAGAATTGTATAATTCTGTCATCATCCACCGACCCTGAAAACATGACATGTAATTCTGGTTTTTCTTGAATTCTCTACAGCACTGCCATTTAGTATCAACGATCCTCAGTAAGATAAATACGCGCGCGCACACGTACACACAATATATTTGTAAAAAATAAAAATATGTTGATTCTTGATTTGGTCGAACAGTTCATTGCTAAAGAGGTTAATTTACAATAGAAGATCCTGAGGTACTTAAAGAGGGCTCTTTAGAGAGGCTGAGCTTTCTTCTTAACAACTTAAGAACTTGTAGAATTAAAGTGTAGTGGAAATTCATGTGCTCAGAAACATGGAAACTGTTGTCAAAGAGCACAGACAAACTGTCCTGTGTAATCAGTCAAAAAAAACAAAAAAGAACTGCAGGGAACGCATTGATGGGAACTGCACCCTAACTGAAAAGAAGTCTCTGCAGCAGATAGTGAGGACAGCAGAGAGGATCATTGGAGGCCCTCTCACATCCATCTCCCAACTCTATGACAGACCCATCATCCGACGTGCAAACAGCATAGTGAAGGACACTTTCCACCCCTCACATGCACTGTTCTCCCTCCTTCCATCTGGCAGACGGTTTCGCAGCATTAAAACCGTAACGACCAGACACTGCAAGAGCTTCTTCCCCCAAGCAGTCAGAGCCCTCAACTCACTACCATAAAAGGACTGATATAAACATACACCTCTACAAACACCTTATAATACTCATCAAAAGACTCAAAAACAAAAACTTCCACAAATCCACTACAAACTGGACCTGGGAACAATATGCTTACTTGAACACTCAGTCACATAGTTCTGAACACACATCTAAATTATAATATATTTGCACATCTTTGTCATGCCTCGTCAATAATATCCTAACGATAACTTGAAACTGGTATTCAATACCTACTGCACATTCCACTTTGTATTGTCTCTGTCCTGTCTTTGTTTATCGTGCAGTTAATATTGTATAGTTACCATTATAGTATTGTATAGTTAGTAATTAGTACCTTTTTAGCCCTAATTTTATCAAATCCTAGCATGTTATTTATTTGTAATTCCTAGTTTTATATCTCTTGGAGATATATCTTTTATATATTTATAAATGGACCATGGGGGGTTTACGGTGAAACAGCATTTCGGTACACTGTATACAGTGTATACTACTGTACTGACAATAAAGCTGTTGAATCTTGAATCTTGATGATTTCAGCAAGACAAAGCTGAAGCAAAAGGAACTGAGTGCAGTGCTGTCCTGCCTGCCACCGACAGCATTTGTAGCAAAGATTACAACAAAGGAAAGGCCCAAACCGCTGAGCAGCTGAGACACTAAGTGGCACAGGGACAATGAGTCCTGCCACATTCAAAACTGCAGCAACCGTTCTCCCCAGTTTTGACACACTTAAAGGTGTTGTTTTAAAAGAAAGGCAGATGTAACACAGTGATGAGCTTGTCTCTGTCCCAACAAAATACACCACACACACAGATTAACTAATAGAGTAGTTTTCCTCTGGCTAATTAGCTGTTGATCACATTTAATACAATACCTGATGCAGGGTAAATATCCTTCAGTGGGTAGATCACCTGTTGGAAACAAGTGTTTCAGTAAATTCAGTAATTAAAGTTTTTCTTTTTTAGATATAAACATATCAGCGCTTTATATAAAAGAAGAAATTTGTAGAAAAACAGCACAATAAGAAGAGACCTGCTCACGCAGAGTGCCATCGGTCAGGTAGGGTTTCTGTGGCAGGAAGAGCGTTCCTCTGGGCCCAAAGCACGTGGTCATCTGGACAAAGCCTGAGGGAAAATGAAGGACAGACAGCTGAATGAATGTATTTGTGCTTTACAGTTTCTATTTGATGGCTTTACACTGCCTTCTCATATCTCTCCCAATCAAAATAAATAAATAAACAAAAACAAGCTAGTAAATTTATTTACCCCCATATCGTGGCTTTTTAAAAACATAAAATTTAACGTAATGGAACCTTTGTTGTTGCTATTGTTCCTCAAGTCAGTGAAGTGCAGTACTGATGAGTTGTCAACAATACATGACAACATCCGTGTAAAACTATGATCTGTTTTTCATGTTCATACTTGCCATATACAAATCTCTTTAAATAACTCAGACTCAGTTTCTTTGTTATTTATGTATTTTTCCCGTCATTCTTAGTCCCCCCCCCATGTTATGCATTGTTATTATTGCCCTTTTTTGTGCCGTCTTCGCTTCTCCCGATTTGCTAAAGAGTTAATACAATAATAAAAAAAGATCAAATTAGGCCAAACAGTCTCAGTTCTTCTGCTCTCACCGCTGTGTGCTTCCCAGAGACGGTTGAGGACCCGCAGCAGTGAAGTCTTGCCGGTGCCCGTGTTCCCCACCACCAACAGATGAGTTCCCTGGCTGATTTTCAGATTCAGGTCCTCCACCAGCAGCTCGTCGGAGAAAGGGGATTTGTATGAAAGATGGTCCACGATGAAGGCCGTGTCCACTGGGCCTGCGTGGATGTTGAAGTCACTGTGTGGAGAGGTGGTGATGTGTGATGTAGTTGAGGCTCAGAGGTTTTGGTATAAACATGAATTTTTACCATCTTTTGCCGGTTTTCATTTCTGTATGTTTAATGTAATCTAATAAATTCTCCTCACATGCAGCCTGCTTCTCAAATCATCACACTGTGCTTCTTTTTTTAACGCAGCAGAGAATAATGTGCCCACACAAACCTGTCAAAGTCGTAGCTTTCTCCTGATGCTGGGTCGTAGTCGCACTGCTTGCGTAGGATGTCATCCATCACCTCCCTCAGCTCCCCGATCCTGACCGCAACACACACACACACACACGCACACACGCACACGGTTATGCAAAGGTGGACGGTATACACAAATCCTGCTGTCATCATTTGTCCTCAAAGAGGTGAATTTAAGTATGCAGCCTGATACCTGTGGGTGTATCCAGCCACATCTGACAGAGTAGTTGACAGGTCTATTAACTGCGTGAAACCATTTATCAAGTAGATGCACACAAAGGCGTTCTGAATGTGAACAAGGAGAGGGAATAAGAAGCAGAGAGTCAATAAGAGACTAGGTTTGTTTGTTTTTTCAAAAGGTCTGCATGCACAACAAAACATTCAGAAGTCAAATCTGTGTGCAGCGCAAGAGATGGCGTTTACGTTTTTTGAGGGGATAAAAAGGATTTTGGTGCCACCTAGTGGGTAAACTACTCTACTAACAAACATGATGGATTTCCTCTTTCAGCCCCACTGTAAGGAAAGCATTAGGACAGTGTGCACTCATGCAAGACAGCAGTTTTGGATTTTATCTTCTAATTTAGTATTGATGTCATCAGGTTAAAAATATGCACAGATACTCAGAACTATCTGGCTCCCACATATTGAAGTAGCCACTTCATTAGGTACACTTGTTCAGCAGCTTATTATTGCAACTCTTG